CTGTTACATCATTAAGAGAAAGTATAAATAAAATAACATAGAAAAAAAGTCTTCCTATGAACAGATTTGAATTCAAATTTTGGATTTGGTTACTAGTTAACTGTGTGATTCTATGTATGACTCCTACTCTCTCTGTTTATTTCTCTGTAAATATAGATTATAATACTTAATTTGAAATGTCTTAAGAATAAAGTAAAAATTTTTCTGTAAGATACAAGACTTGTCCTCAAAAAATAATTGCTTTCTATAATAATGTAAAACAGAATCTTGAGTTTGCACAAGTAATCTGAGAGGGAAGGAATGAGTGAGCCCAAGACTGGAAAGAGTTGGAAATGAAAATAGGAGTAAAAGAAAGGTGGCAGACCAAACTGGAAGGAGACTGGGGATTGAGAAGTAAAAGCCAGGGAGTGCTCCACAGTAAGTATGGCCAAGAAACTTTCATGAACAGGGATGTCTAATGCTTAATTGGATGTTGTTTGCTGAGCTGTGACAAAATAGAACACTCTTTCTTAACCTTAACCTCCAGAATGTTAAGTAAAGGTTCCAAGGCAAAGTGACTCTGTTCTTCATTTGGGTGTATGCCCAGGAAGAATGGAAAAACAAATCCATATGAGAGAGATTAGAAAATTTGAGATAAGAAAGAAATCAGAACAAGATATAGCTAAGGAAAACATAAGCCCTTGAAATATTGTGGAGGATTTTCCAACTGCATATGACATAGAGTCTGGAACTAGTATTATTTATTTGTTAAAGGACAGTGGGACTAAACATTCTGAAGAAATTGGGACACCCAGGAAGAAGACATCTGGGATGTAGTAGCTAGATGGAGCTATGATAGAAATAGAGAAAGTGACAAGTGGGAGACAAGAATGCCTGAATGAAGATATTATAAGATATGAGAAGCAAATAAAGTTTTCTTCTTAAGCAGGATGGTGAATGTGTTGCATGGATGAGGGTAGAGAGACACAGGAGGAGAGGATACCAATTTGGAATCACTGAAATAATTGATAGAAAACTTTAAAAGGCCATCAAAGGATGGGCAAGTGCAGAAGAAGATAAACCCAAGCTATAATACCGAAACAGAATTCTCAATTTCTGGCAAGTTACGGGACGTGAAATGGTGATGTACTTTACCAGGTATTAGTCTAGGAATTCAGGATTAGATGACTGGAATGATGGCGTTTGCATTAATTGAAACAACAGGTGAAGGGAGTGACAACTGAACACACATTTCTGACACTGTCATATGTAAATTTGTTCTCTCAAACCAGATCATAAAACTGTTTGGTACAAGAACTGGCAGAGTACCCCACATAAATGTTTCTTAATGACAGTCATCTATTGTGGGTACTATCAATGGTATCTTTTTCTAGAAATTGAGCCCATATTTTTTAGCTGAGCACATGGCTGCCTAGAACAAACACTACATTTTCCAGTCTCCATTGCAGCAAGGTAAGTCCTTGGAACTATAACTAGGCCAATGTGGAAGAATATTTAATAAAACAGGGTGCATCTTTTTAATTAAGTGGACCTCAATTATCTACTCAAGACTGTGAGATGTGAGCCACAAATGGATGATGGCAACCAAAATAGAGCCTGGTTCCCTGACAACTTCCTGAAGTCTCCCTACCAGCCATACATGGACTGCTCAACTCTAGATTTCCTTTATATGAAAATGAATTAAACTTCTATCTTCTTTACACTATTGTTATGTTGACTTTTCTGCTTTTGCGGCCAAGTCTAATTCTAATATAACTACCTTGTTCGATTTTGCTATTTACTTCAGTTCTGGTTTTTATCTTTCAAAAGCTAAAATAAATCTACATATACTTCTTTTTAACATTTAGAAATATTCTGAACTGCTGACCAGGCGTTCTTTACATTTGTTTGAAAACATTTTTAATCTGATAAGTGGCATGGTGAAAACATCCCTATAAATACAACGTTGCTTACCACAGAGGCTTATTGGGATATCAGATGTTTGATTAATATGTTTGCTAACCAAAGAGATCAACCAAAATTATATTGAAAACAGTGCTTATAGTGCTCAAATCCTAGGCCAAGGTCATTTAGCAAAGTGGAAGTTTCACTAAATCTCCAGAAAAGATAACCATGGTCAGCAGGGACAATGTGTCTCTCTGTTCTTTCCATTGAATCCATACAGACTTGCAGATACACAGAACATTAGAATAGAATTTTATGACATTTCTTTTAATTATTTGCAAAAAGTTAAATATTTTTAGTCTTTTGTTGATAATTTACGTTTCCCTGCTTTTTACTCTGAATTGTTCACATTGAACTGAAAACTATAAACCCATAAAAATATTTTAACTGATTTTTCTCGCATGGACAATGCTTTGTTTGACATAGAACTCCACAAATATCCATTCCAAACCCCTTGTTTTATAGATAAAATTGATATGGGAAGCGGGCAGGGAAGTGCTGGGTAGAGAAAGATGGGGTCCCTGGCTAGGGCTCCACCACTGGCTCTGTGCCCATGGACCTAGTAAGGACAGGCATTTCTGTTTTCATGCCCAAATGTTGCATTATCTAAGACCACCCTGGCCCACCACGTCCGCATTCTGTGCCTATAAAAACCCCAAGACCCTAGCAGGCAGCGACACAAGCGGCTGGACATCGAGAGGAACACACCGGCGGAAGAACGCACAAGCGGCTGGACATCGAGAGGAACACACCGGCGGAAGAACGCACAAGCGGCTGGACATCGAGAGGAACACACCGGCAGAAGAGCACACCGACAGGCACCTGCAGACACCGGCAGGCCGTCGACCGCAGAACGACGTGGACCTGAGGGGAATCTAGCCGGGGAGGTCAGAGGAGAGTCTGGCTGCTGAGCGGCCCAATTCCAGGGGAAAATCACCTTTCCACTTCATCCTCCTTCTGGTTCCCCATCCATCTGCTGAGAGGTACTTCCCAACATTCAATAGAACCTTGCACTCATCCTCCAAGCCCACATATGACTCAATTTTTCCGGTACACCAAGGCAAGAACCCAGGATACAGAAAGCCCTCTGTCCTTGCAATAAAGCAGAGGGTCTAATTGAGCTGATTAACACAAGCCACCTTCAGACTGCAAAACTAAAAGGACACACTGTAACACACGCCCACTGGAGCTTCAGGAGTTGTAAATACTCAACCCTAGATGCTGCTGTGGGGTCGAAGCTTCTCAACCTGCCCATCTGCATGGTCCCCCTAGAGGTTTGAGCAGCAGGGCATTGAAGAAGCAAGCCACTCCTGCTGTCACATGCCCTGTGAGGGAGAGAAGGAAACATTTCCCGTTTCAAAATGATCCCAAAAGATGAGCAAACCTAACTGAATCTTTCTCAAAATAACTGTTTGTTCATTCATTGATTCATTAATCCCTGTATTCACTCATCCAACTACTGTTTAATTCTTATCATGCATAAAGCATTGTACAGGGAGACAGCTGGAACACAGGATAAGATACGACACCCGCCTTCTATACGTTTTCAACTTAGTGGAGATACAAATAAATTATCCACATAATTAAAAGAAATTATCCAGATAATTAAAATACACAAGCATTTCTACAGACAAAGAGTTGGGAAAGAGGAATGGTGGGGAGGAGATAGCTAGCAAAGACTTTATGAACAAAGTTGCATCTGGGACGAAGCTTAAAGGATATGAACAGGTGAAGGTGGGATGGGCATTGTAGAAAAGGGAGTGGCTTTCTTTTTCCCTTCTAGAGTTGATTTTTATATAAAGGTTTTTTCCTTAAATTATTTTAAACTAACATTTGGATAGCAGAGTAAAACCAAAATATTTCCTAAGAAGCCAGAGATGAGGCTGCGACTTTGGAAAGCTTGACATCATAGTTAATGCTGCATTAAAAAGTGATGCTTAGTAGAATGATGGTTACCAGAGGCTGGAAAGGGTAGTGGTGAGGGGTGGGGGTAGTGTGGGTGGTTAATGGGTACAAAAATACATTTAGATAGAATGAATTAGATCTAGTATTTGATAGCACAACAGGATGATTACTATCAACAATAACTTATTCTATATTTTAAAATAACTGAAAGAATATATAATTAGAATGTTTGCAATACAAAGACATGATAAATGTTTAAGGCGACAGATACCCCATTTACCTTGATATGATTGTTACACATTGTATGCCTGTATCAGAATATCTCATGAACCACATATATACACCTAATATGTACCCATAAATATATACACCTAATATGTACCTATAGAAGTAAAAATACACAAAACAAAAGTGACGCTTATCAAGGTACAAACGAATCCCCATGAAGCTCAGCAGCTTCAGGGCCATGCTAGCATTCGTGACTGGAGGAAACGGTCACAGTATGCTTTAGAAACCAAGGGCTAAGAGTAACGACTCACAAAATACCATAAATAAAATGACTGAAAAGGATATCAGTAATAAGTTAAAGAGTAGGGTTTCAGTTTACAAGGGAGAATTCAGATAAATGTGCAGTATCATGGAAAACATCATTTCATTTTCCTTCATATTGCAATGAATTAAGCAGCCTAGGATACAAATTTTCAGACAGAAATTCTTTGAAATGCAAATGACATTTAGAGAAAAGCGATGGTGTCTATATGTATTATTACAAGTAAATGTCTTTTTGAAAGTACCTATTTTCATACATCGCAGTAAGTATGACAATAGGTTCTCTTTTTATCACATTTGTGATTGATTATGGTTACTAGTAATAGAGCAATATCTAGAACTAACTAGGCATTCATCAATAAGTAGTACTAAATGATTACAATAGATGCATATTCAGAAAATTTTGATCATGACTTTTACAACTCTAAACTAAGAATACAGTTTTACATAAGCTAAATATTCAGCTTTTCAGCCATTGTAACTGCTTACATCCTTACACCGGTATTCCTCATCTACTCCCGATTTCATAACACGTTTTAGTGCTCTTAAAAAGAAATGAGCACTTTAGCTATATAAGTCTGCAGGTAACTTCAGCAACTAACCTTGCTGTCTTCTTTCTCCTTGGCTTTTCCTTGGAGGGGTTTCTTCTCTCCAAATTCACAGGTTGATTTCAATGCAAGCTGACAAGAAAGCATGGAGCTCTCTGTTTCAGCAAGTTCCAAAGGTCTTGAAGAACAGTGCTGTGACCCAGTAGTGCCAAGATTTGGTATCGGAAGAGCAGTATGCACAGGCTTTGACCCCACAGCTGGCTGCCTCAGTTTTGAGGCAACCCCAAAAACAGGCATGGCTTCTATAAAATTATCTTCTTGCTGCCAAAGAAAATGCTTCTAACCTCAGTCTGGTAGACTCCAACTTTAGTATTTCCAGAACAAATACTTTAAACAAAACTAGCAGTCATCCTGATTTTTAAAAAACTAATAATATAATTTTCAGAAAGAGGCAAAACTTCTCTGCATCTTTAGTTAAGTATCTTTCTTTCTTGCTGGCTGGGATTCATATTCATTCTCATTTCTCTCTCTCTCTCTCTCTCTCTCTCTCTCTCTCTCTCTCTCTCTCTCTGTTCAGTGACTCAGTGTCTAAGTAATACTAAATACTCCTTTGGGGAGTAAACTTTTCTTCAAGGTAACTGCTACAAAGCTCCTTCTTAGGATTAGACAGCTCTTAGTTTTGCTTTTTTCTTCTCACTAAAGCAGTCTGAGTCTGAACTTTGAGAGTGAAAAAGAGGAAAAAAACAAAAGGAGAAGCCCTTCAGTCCAACTGTCAGAGCAGCCAAAAGACCACAACAGTGGAAGGACAGGGGTTCTTCCTGATTTCAGAAATAGCCAGCCTGCATTCTCTTTTTAAAGAAAATTGTATTTCCCTCAGCTCAGAAAAAAATAAAAAGAATGGACATGTTAATGGCCAAAACAAACAGCTGTTGGAAGAACTTTTAGCCCAGAAACAATCTCAGCAATAAACTTGTTTGTCTGATTTCCAGCTATTTTTCACTACTGACAGCCATGAGCCACGATGTTCATTCTGTTGCATCCCATGAAATCAGGCTAAAATCATGCAATAGTGCAACTAGCTAAAGCAGTGAAATCATTCATCGGACCATAGCTGCCTAGGTTATGAAAATAGAGTAAACACAGGGAGCAAGGCACTAAATATATAGTAATCATTGTTCCCAAAATGAGTAAGTCATGATTATAAAAACATTCAAAGCTAATACTTATGTGGAATGTATTACAAAGCAGTTACTGAGCTAAACATTTTATGCATTATCACATTTAATCATTGGAATGACTCAAAGTATAGGCATATTTATTTTCTTCACTTTAAAGAAAGAATAGCTATGACTTGGAGACACTGAAAAATTTGACTAAAATGATGAAGCTAGAAATGGGGAAAGAATGTATGATTTTAGTTTATAAACCCATCTTTTAAAACGGCTGAAAATAACACTGTTATTCAAGCTTATTAAGTCCAACTTAAAATTCCAAGCTTCTAAAAAGTATCCAAACAGATACTCAGTGAGAATGAATGATGATGCTTCTATCCATAGAACTATTTTATTAAAATCATAGCATGTTCTATTTCTGGTTAAAGCATGACAGGAACTTTAAATAAACAATGGGTAAACTTTTAAGAAAACATCTAATGTACTATGCATTATTGTTCTGAAAGTGATTCCACTCAGATAATGGATATAGAGAGTAATTACATTCACCAAATGTTATGAAAATTAGTAATAATGTAACCAAAGATCTTAGAAAAATGAGTGGTGGACACTTAGTATAGATAGATACAATGAATTATGGAAATTATTAAATCATAACCATTTTTATAGAAAATGTCTTTCTTTAGTGAAGACATGGTCATCTTTGGCCTACTGTTTCCAGGTCTTTAAATCACTATGTACTTTTATCTAAGAGGCAGTAATTTATAGATGAAAGAGCCAATAAGTAAAATAAAAGGTATGTGTTCTGCTGATGCAGCATGGAAGACAGGAAATGCAAGTTAGAAGTCTTGCCGACTTTTAAAAAAAAGTAACCCTAGTGAGCTTTACACAATGGGATAATACAAAACAAATACAATACTAGTGGTATCAAAGAAATGAAATAATCTCTCTGAGGAAGTAAGTTATTTTGCAATTTGCAAACCATTCAACACATTATAACTTTCAGAAACTATAAGATAATACAGAGCTGGAGAGGTTCATGTTCGTAAAATGAGGCTTAGTTCATAAGAAGACATATGCAACTTGTAATCCTCACAATGCAAAACAAAACAGCACCTAAATAATAGAACTTGTGGGAAAAACTGATTCTAGGAAGACCACTCAAAACATATGCAACTTTGGGAATATATTGCTAGCAAAAATAATATCGGCACCTCAGAAAATAATTTGGACCACCCAAGGAAGTGACCCAGAATTACATAAAAGAAAAAATTGGGTATAAATGCTGGCAACACTTTAACTAGAATTGGTGGAAGAAATCCGTTTGGAAGGCAAACTTTCCAAGCAAGTAGGCTTGACATTGAAATTGGTACAGGGTCAGGGCAACTGCAAATATTCAAGAGCTGCACAAGGCCAGGGGCATGCCCCTTTGAAGAGGAAGCCCCAGATGCAGGCATTCATTTTTGTTTTTGTTTTTAGTTTTCTTAAAACTGAGCCAAAAGGGCTCCTGCTGACTATACAACATTCAGATGGAGGACTTCTTTGCCCACCCAAGGTTATAATTCTACTCTGACTATTCTGCCTCCCTTTGCCTAGAATAAATTGTATGTAAAGCTATACAACCTCATTTTACGAACATGAATTCTACATTATACTAGTATAATATTCCTATTCGCCAATTACAAATGAGCTATTTGGTGTTTTAGAAACATATGTTGGAGAAGAATGTATTGTAATTCCTGGGACAATTAGGTTGAAAAAAAAAAGGGGGATTCACATTCAATAAGATATCTTTTCACTTTGAAATACCTTTTGCATATTAGGCAATATCTTTCACTCTGACTGAAATATAAGGTTGGTATTAGTAGCCACTGTCAACTAATTTTTTGCAATAATATCTACCACCAAAAGCAACAAAACCAAACTAACTTAACTATAAAAAATGTGCTCTGTGCCAGGAGTTGTCATCTCAATTTATCTTAAAAGAACCACATTATTTTGAGACCTAGGACACAAAGGCACTGAGAAAGTAAAAAATTAGCTTACGGTCACTGATACTTTGTAGATGAAGTTCAAAATGAGGTTTTACAAACTGAGTTCAGCAAAGCAGATGTGATGGTAAGCTGAGTGCTTGCTAAAAATACAGATGATTGTATTCATCCCGAACCCACTGTGTTAGTCCATTTGTGCTACCATAACAGAATATCTAAAACTGAATAATTTATAAATAACAAGATATTTGCTTCTTACAGTTCTGGAGGCTGGGAAGTATAATACTGAGGGGCCCATATGTGGTGAGGGTCTTCTTGCTTCCCCATGGTGGAAGCGGAAGAGCAAGAAAGCACTCATATAAGAGAGACAGAGAGGGCCAAAGTCGCTTTTTAACAGCCTACTCTCATGATAATCCCACTACCACAATAACATTAATCCATGTGTGAAGTTACTGTTCTCATGGCCTAATTACCTTTTAATGTCTCCATCTCTTAGTACCATTTACAATGCCAACTAAATTTCAACATGAGTTTTTGGAGGGGACACAAAACTCATGTTGAAACCATCACAAGGGAGAGGGAAAGGTCTGAGAGTCATATTTAAGTGAATTGATTCTCCTAAAAACTAGAATTTAAGATCTGTAAATTATAGGATTTGTAATTTGATAGTTCAGGCAATGGGCTGTAAAGTGGGAGTGCTTATAAGCAAATCTCTGCTTCCTTACTAGTTATACGAATTTGGAAGTTGCTGTGTCTCAGTTTCATCCTCTATAAAATGGAGTAAAAAATAATTATACTTCCTTCACAGGGGTGCTGTGAGAATTAAAGGAAGTAAATGTATGATGTCGTTAGGACAGTTTTCCACATAGTAAGTGTTCAGTAAATGTTAGCTCTAAATGTTACAGGAAATATAGTTATGAGAATTAGAGAGATAAAGTCATGAAGCCTAATACGGCCATGATCATAAGGGTTAATTGAACAGAACTCAGGAAAAAAACTCTGAAAATTAAAGTGAAATAAATTGGTTGTCATTGCATTCCTATCAAATCTAACAGGAAAAGTGGCAATGAGCCTTGAAATAGCTTCTGAAGCTAAGCTGGAGTTTTAGACAATAAGAGAATTCCAACCTGGCTAAATTTGAATATCAGCAATTTAAAAAACAAGTAATAAAATCTCATAAAATGGCAACTTGCAAACCACGATTTTTAAGAAAGAGTAGGAGAAAAAATATTCAACCGTCAACACAAAAGTATGCTCGCTGAAAGGAAAAATATGATTGGATAGTCAACTCTGATATTTGCTAAAAATATAGAAAAGCCACAGTACTTTTTTTTTTTTTTTTTGAGACATAGTCTCGCTCTCTCCCCCAGGCTGGAGTAACTATACTCCACGATCTCGGCTCACTGCAACCTCTGCCTCCTGAGTTCAATGCTTCAGCCTCCCAAGTAGCTGGGATTACAGGTACCTGCCACTATGCTGGCTAATTTTTGTATTTTTAGTAGAGACAGGTTTTTGCCGGGGTTTCGCCATGTTGGCCTGGCTGGTCTCGAACTCCTGATCTCAGGTGATTTGCCTGCCTTGGCCTCCCAAGGTGCTGGGATTACAAGTGTGAACCACCGTACCTGGCCTCACATTCCTATTTTTAACAGCTTGATTGAAGTGGAATTTACACAGAAGTTAAAATTCAACAAATATAAGGAAATAATTCAATATGGCCAGTACCACTATCAAGATGTAGAATATTCCCTTCATTCAAAATGTTCTCACATGCCCATGCCCCAGTCTCAACACAAGCAATGTCTGAAGTGACTTCTAATGCTAGTTTTGCCTTTTCTAAAATTTCACAGAAATGAAATCATTCAGTATTTTCGTTTTTGGCTGTTTTCACTTAGCATAATGTTTGTGAGATTCATCCATGTGTTGTACGTATCATTAGTTCTTTCTTTTGTATGGCTGAAATGCATAACATGGTTTGAATATGGCACAATTCATTTATGCATTTATCTGGTAGAGGACCCTTGATTTGTTTCCAGTTTGGGAAAGTTCTATAATTTTTGCAGGGGGAGGGGGACAGAGTCATGCTCTGTCACCCAGGCTGGAGTGCAGTGGTGTGATCTCGGCTCACTACAACTTCTGCCTCCTGGGTTCTAGCAATTCTTGTGCCCCAGCCTCCTGAGTAGCTTGGACTACAGATGTGCACCATCTGTATTTTTAGTAGAGACAGGGTTTCACCATGTTGGCCAGGCTGGTCTCCAACTCCTGACCTCAAGTGATCCACCTGCCTCAGCCTCCCAATGTGCTGGGATTACAGACTTAAGCTACAATACCTGGCCCTATAAGTATTTATATATGTCTTATGTTGATATTTATTTTATTTTCTCATGGATAAATGACTCGAAGGGAATTTCTGAGTCATCTGATAACTATATATTTAATTGCGTAAGCAAGTACCACACTATTTTCCAAAACATACCATTCTGAACTCCCAATAGTAATGTATGAGAAGCCCAGTTGCTCCACATACTCTCGACTTCGTATCTTCAGTCTTTCATTTTAGCCATTCTACTCAGGGGTAGAGGTGTATCACTGCAGTTTTAATGTGAAATTTTCTAATAATTTATTGACGTTGACTATCTTTTCATGTGTGTGCTTGTCATTCATATATCATCTTTGGTGAAATATCTGTCAAAAACTCTTGCCCACTTTTTGTTTGTCTCATTATTACTGAGTTTTCTCAACAATTCTTTATATATTTCGGTATAAGTCCTATCTTAGATATATATTTGAATAGATTTTGTCCTAGTCTTCAGCTTGCTTTTTGTTAGAGGATGACTCTCCATATATCTCTCAAACTTCTGCAGGCTTGTGAGTGGGGATCCTAAATATCCCTTTGTGCTAAACTACTTTTTAAAGGATTTTGATTAGTGTTTAGTGTCATCTTTCCATTCTTTCAACTTTATCTGTATCTTTATAAAGTGGGATTCTTAGTGAGTGACACATATTTCATTTTATTCTTCTGTTTCCTGTAGGATTTACTATATAAACCATTAACTTACTAGAATATGCCTTCAAATTATATTATGCCACTTTAGATATAATTTACAAACCTCACAGTATTTAATTTTACATTACTGTACACATTCTTGTGCTAGTGTTAGCATATGTTTTCTTCTGCATATATTAACAGAGCACATTATTTTGTTATATTATCAATTCTGTTTTAAAAATTAAAAACTGAATAATCTTTATTTTTATCCACATAATTTCCATTTCTGGTGCTCTTCTTTCCTTTGCATAGATGCAAATTTTTATCTGGTATCATTTTCCTTTTATAAACAACCTTTTATAATATTTTCCAAATTGCAGATTTGCTGGAGATTAACTGTCTCAGCTTTTGTTTGGCTAAAAAGGAG